ATTAAGAGCAATTTGACAGTGGTTACTAGTGACTTGATGAGCTCTTGTTTACTGGATGTTTAAAAGAAGAAACTAGATATCCATCTGTCAGTGTTACAGTGGATTCCCCTTACAAAATAGGGGATTGGATTTAATCCAATCCTAATGTTTCTGTGGCTTTCACAGATTTCTGATCAGTTGCCCTGCCCAATTATATTCTGCTGAAATATATTCTATATTTAACTGACAACTAAGAAATAAAAACTACTTTAAAAACTCCAATTTGGCCCAAGTTAGCAGCAAGTCTGCTTAGCAAAACATCTGCATCTATGATTTGGATGAGGGGATAGATGGGAAGCTTATCAACTTTGCAGATGACACCAAGCTGGCAGGAATAGCCAACACTCCAGAAGATAAGCTTTTAAGATACAGATGGATCTTGACAGAGTTGAACATTGGGTGCTATATAACAAAATGAAATTCAATGGTAAAAAAAGTAAGGTTCTACATTTAGGCAAGAAAAACCAGATGCACAGATATAGTATAAGTGGTACCTGGCTAAATAGTAGTAATTGTGAGATGGATCTTGGAGTCCTAGTGGACAATCATTTAAATATGAGCCAGCAGGGTGTTGCAGCTGCCAAAAAAGCCAACACAGTTCTAGGCTGCATTAACAGAGACAGAGAAATAGAACTGAGATCACGTAAAGTGTTAATACTACTTTATAATGCCTTGGTAAGACCACACTTGGAATACTGCATCTAGTTTTGGTCGCCATGATGTAAAAAAAAAAAATGTTGAGGCTCTAGAACAGGGATGTCAAACTCATGTTGTCATGACGGCATCACATGATATATCAGGACCTTTCCCCCTTTCTCTAAACCGGGCATGGGCGTGGCCAGCGTATAACTTATCCAGCCCACGGGCCGGGAGTTTGACAGCCCTTATCTAGAAAGATGCAGAGAAGAGCAACAAAGATTATTAGGGGACTGGAGGCTAAAACATATGGAATTGGGTATGTCTAGTTCAATGAAAAGAAGTACTCAGGGTGAGATTATACTGTATAATTGTCCCAATATCTCAGGTTTGCCACAGAGAAAAGGGATTCAAGCTATTCTCCAAAGTACCTGAAAGCAGGACAAGAAGCAATGGATGGAAACTAATCAAAGAGAGAAAAAATCTAGAATAAGGAGAAATTTCCTGATAGAACAATTAATGAGTGGAACAACTTGCCTCTAGAAATTGTGAATACTCCAACACTGGAAGTTTTAAAGAAGAGATTGGACAACTATTTGTCTGAAGTGGTGTAGTGTTTCCTGCCTGGGCAGGAGGTTGGACTAGAAGACCTCTAAGGTCCCTTTCTAACTCTGTTATTCTATTCTATTCTATTCTATTCTATTCTATTCTATTCTATTCTATTCTATTCTATTCTATTCTATTCTATTCTATTCTATTCTATTCTATTTCTACTCCTATTATTTCTATTTCATCCCATCCCATACCATCCATTTAATTTTTTACTTAAACATTACCATAACTGTTGACTATTTCCTCAATGTTATTTGTTTGTGGGAAAGTTCTACTGGAAACACTGTCAATATTTGCATAATAAGCTACTCTGTTATTTTTTTCATTTGAAACAAACTTTTTTCCTGATAGTTACATGGAGCTACATGCAATTTTCTAGACAAAACTTTCAGAAGCATTTTGCTATTACACTATTCCTCTTCCTAGGGCTGAGAAGGAATTTCCTGCTAATGGAGGATCACATTAAGTACTGAACCAAACTGGTTCTCATGCTAAGCCTCTATAACAGGATAAATTAGTACCCATACTAGGGCATCTCATCCCACATTCTACTCATAATACAAGATTTATCAGACTCATTCTGTCATCCAAATGCAGAGCAGTTGCCATTGTTGGACTACAGAAAGAAGAATATGAAACCAAAGCCTAATGTAAGTACACATGACACACCTAGCTTCACAAACTCTGTAACAGTATAATATGTCAAGCATACAGTTATTTAGTTTTTAAATTGATTGAATATTATATAAACATAGCCAATATAACTAAATTCTGAATAAACATAGTTTAAGTTCAGATATTCACTGAATAATTTGCCTTCATCTAGACCAGGAGTGTCAAACTCACATCATCACATCATTGTCACGTGACATATTGGGACTCCCCCCCTTTGCTAAACCAGGGTGGGTGTGGCCAGTATGTGAAGCATCTGGCCCATGGGCTGTGAGTTTGATACCCCTGATCTAGACATTGCTTAGCCTGAAGTTGGAAAAGAGGCTTGACTTTTTTTAGAAGAGAGGTCAGCTCTCTTCCAAGCTCTAACGTAAGAGATTAAAGGCTAGAGTGCCTTTGCAATAAAGTTTCTCCAACTATACTGATTCTTTTTTTTATTTCATTACTCTGTGACTATAAACCTCCTTCCATCTAGTTCCAATCATCAAGCCACTGTTCAAAACTATCCAGGTTCTTCAGTATTTTAAAATAGATCTAGGCTGCAAATATTCTTATGATCACTGGATAGCAGCAAGGAGTTGATGTTTTGTGGCTTTCAGTATCAACACTGCTTGCAAAAATACTTCATGCCCCTGATGAAGTGGATAAAAGCTCAGGAAAGCATGCTTTAGAAAAATACTAAAATAAGTAACTAATCAAGCAAGCTGGTCGTCACAGTTCCATAGGGATTGTTCCTGCTAACACCTAAGTACTTAAACTTATTTATAACACTTAAAAAAGAAAAGCAAGAGGTAACAATTCACTTGATGCTGCAAAGTTGCAGGTATGCTGCCCAAGATACCCCCTTCTGGCAAGCTGAGGTTATTCTTGGTTTGTTGGATCTGACATCAAATCACTGGGAAGTTAGTCATGCAAATGAAGCTTTTCACAATATTCAAACAGGGATTATCTCATGGTAAAAATCTATTGATCCAATTATTGTTAACAACACTAGAACAGAAGTAAAATTTAAAAAGCAAGTTAGAATCAATAGTTGTTAATTACTGTTGCTCAAAACGGCTTTCAGTTCAGCTTTTTAGGTTTTTAATTAAATTCTGTTGACATAGACCAGAATGCCTATGTTCACAAGATGACTTCAGTTTCTTAAACAAAATTATTTGAATATATTATAATTGACTGGGTTCCTGTGATACCTTTTGTTTCAAAAGACCGTAATTCAGTATATTATGGACAGGTGTTGACTGAGTTTATACAACATGCTAAATCATGTGGCTTGTTTGATTTGGGTTGAATGTATTTGAACCAACCTTGTCTGTATTATCTGTTCCTAGCCAATTAAAATGCTAATTTATTCAGCAAACCACAGCAAGGCAAACCATGGTTAAAGATGTGTGAACACAGTAAATTATGGCTTGTTGCTCAGGAATATTTAAACTTCTATTGATTAGGCAAAACTAATATTTGTGTTTTGCAATTATGATTGCATGGCTTTCTGTGGTAGTATCTGCATAGATATTTCCATTGGGTTTCACTTTAACTATATTTGATAGTCTCTAATCCTTATACAAGCTGAGCTCAAATGTTGGGCCATCTCATTTCCCTTAGCAATAAGAGATATTACATAATCTCTGTAGAGTATTGTTCTCCTGAGTGTTTTTATTCATCATTATTTTGTTTTATGAAACCCTGCTATATAGTCCTGGAGGAGTTTCCCCAGGAGGAGGTAAAGTCTGTAGTAAATTGTATAGTACAAAAGGTAACTTCAAGTCAGTCTCAAATCCTGATTAGTTCATGAATTCATTCACTTAATTTTCTTGTCAGGAATACAAAAATGTACCTTTATCTCCCCCCCCCTTTTTTGGCCTTCCTAATCTAGATGTGGTATTCCCTGGTGGTTTCCCAAAACAAGGCCAATTACAATATGTTTAGTTTCTAAGTCCAGACAAACTTGACAGGTTGTTCTGCCTGCCTACCAGAAGTTGCTGGAATTAGTTACATTTAAAGCACTCTGCTCTGATAACAGAGATTGATAGGAGAGTCAATAATAAAATACGGATCAGGAGGAACATTTATTTACTAGTTTGCTTTCCCAACTTTATTGAACATAAGCTTGCAATTCAGTACATCCTTATAGACACTTAATATGTAAATGCAATGTAGACACTGATAGATGAGACTATTTGTAGCTTAGAGTTGAACTGCTAGCACTGTTACCTAGTTTGATAATGAAATATCTACAAAAAAAAAAAAAAAAAACAACCAAACTCGGAGAGAACCAAGGACCCCATACAATGAAGACAGATAATATTTCTGAGAAGCATGCATCTAAAGGGAATGAGAGGAGCTAATTAAGAAGCCCTACATCCACATATTTTGATAACCATTGTTCCCCATGCTGGTTGTTATTAATCTTTGAGAATATCAATTGTTGTACTGCCTGTTCACAATAATCAGGTAACTTGAACTTCCTTGGCCCGGGAATTTTGCAACACGAAAAAACGATGAACATTAAATCGTTTGCTTGCATCCACCTAACCAATTGCACAATATAATTAATATTTCCAAAATGTTTAAATTGGCTGATCAAAGTCATATCATGATTAGTTACAATGGGACGATTTCCCCACTTTCATATACTGTTAAGATTCGTAGCCGTGCTTGGTGGGTAGGAAATGATGGAGTTGCTCTCCTATCCATCTAAGTAGGTTCAGAGGTGAGATGAAGCTTAATTACCAAGATTGCAATAATCTATATACTCGGGTCACTTTATTTTGGAATCTAAATCCTTATCACCATGCTCTAAGGCCCAGCACTTCCTGAAAACTACAATGAAAATCTTTCACAGCGTCTTGATTTGAAACCCTTTTTTGAACCAAGCCTTGATTACGCTGCGAGCGTTCCTATAGAAACCGTACCGTTATTCTGCGGTTGCCTGGAGACATGAAGCAACGAATACGCATGCGCCGCAAGCGTTTCTTCCGCCAGTCTAGGCAAGCGCCGATTCTCCCGTTTTGATCGGTCTACGCGCCGTTTCTCTATGGTTTGTCGAGATCATAGTTTCGCGTCAAAGATAGAGTGGCTGCGACGCGCGGAGGTGCATCATGGCGGCGGTCGACATCAGAGGTATCGGAGGGGGACTAGCGTGGGTTAGCGTAGCTGCTTGATACTTAAGTATAAACAGGGACTATCCCTACGAAACGACCAGCTTTCTTGTTTACTTACTTATCTATTTTAGTATTTTTCCATAGCACGTTTTCCTGGGCTATTTATTGTCCGCTTCCATCAGAGGCATGGAGTGTTTTCGTGAACTGCGTCGAAAGCCACGAAACGTCAACTTCTCGCTACTACCCAGTGATTGTAGGATATTCGCAGCTTAAATCTACACTGCTCAAAAAAATGAAGGGAACACAAGCAGAAGACATCCGAGATCTGAATGAATGAAATAGCCTTATTAAATGCTTTGTTCGTAACTACTAATACAATAGTTTTGTGTTCCCTTTAGTTGTTTGAGCAGTGTATAAACTACTGTATGTAAAGAACAAAGTATTTAATAAGGCTATTTCATTCATTCAGATCTCGGATGTCTTCTGCTTGTGTTCCCTTTATTTTTTTTGAGCAGTATATTTTAATACATAGACGAACCAGGGTAGCTTTTGGACCGGAAGAGCTTCAGATATTCAGATCCCATTCAGATTTCTTTCCGATTTCCGATTACATCTCCAGCATTTGGGAGTGGGAGGCACCATAGTAAATTAGTCGTGCAGTCTAACTAATATTGGTCAGCAAAATTGTACAAACAAATCCTGTTATGCTAGTTTTCTTTTAGACAAATGACACGTTGGGTTGATTTGTTGAGTGCAATATAGCAATTGTACATACATTTTCTAGTCCGTGGAAATTAGATAAAGGTTGCACATGAATGAAAATGAGAAGACCAGACTATATAATGCTCTACTATAATCATTTAAATAAATGTTCATGCTTTAAAGTGTTGGGTTCAGTTTCAGGAGCTACTTGGATGAGTGAGACACATACACAGCAGATATATATAGTCTTAGAACAGCAACTATTTTAATTTTTTAAAGCGCGTTAGATGTTAATGAAACACCTATGTAGTAGTTGTATTGTCATATTATTTATATACTATTAAATTTCTCCTGAATAATCAATTTGGTTGAAGTTTTTCTAGCGTTGCAAAATGTTATGTAATGCCCAATTAAATAATTGGTTAACTCCTTGGATAAACATATCTGTTTTATATCATGTTTAACTTTTATCAAATCAATATGCATGAAACTGATAGGGATAAATGATTATAACTTTAGGAAATACAGTGTCTAAGCCAAAATATGTTTTTAAATCAGAACTCCAAGTTTTTCATAAAGAAAAATTTATGAAGTATATATATGAATCAAGTCACTATAGCTCGTTCATACTATGATTAAAACAAACCATGCTTAGATTAGGTGAAGCCAATTTTTGTAATAGTCTGAGAATCAAAACATACAATCAAGGCATCTGTCAAACTTCGCCTCTATAAAGAAGAGAAATTTCTTCCAGTTTTGCAGTGGTGAAAAGGGCAAGGTAGTCAGTTGATCAGATCACTCACTATTAACAGCTACTATACAAAAACTATAGTGACAGAAAAGACAGACCTTTAGTCCTGGAAAGAACAAATGAAAACCATATTTTTGACATATTTCAGAGTCAAGCTAAAATTAATTTTAAATTATGGGGTTTTTTTGTAATTTAGTGCAAGTCATAAATACTTTTAAGTAGAGTTCAGAAATAATCAAAAGCAACCCTTAAAGGAAAAAAACAGCTGACATTCATTGGTTAATATTAATCTGACCCTGTATTTCTGTTTCAGAATATTAATCTTCTGTTTAGCAGAATGAGGCCCAAACAGATGGGGGGGGGGGTCTATTCCAGAGCGGTGACAGAAAGGATTCCTACAGGATGTCATTGTTCGATATTGGAAGCCGAGCATGCCCACCATGCTAGATTTTACAGGATAGCAGATATAATTATGTAAGGATGACCCCTTAAACATCCATGCCCTGATCCTTGAAGAACTAGATAGACAATAAATAGTACCTTGAATTGTACCCAGGAACCCAACTACAAGTAGTTCTAGACTTATGACAGGTTGCTTAGTGACCATTCAAAGTTATGATGGACTTACCTAGGGAATACTTATGACCTGGATTTGAAGTTTCTATAGTTCTGCAGTCACATGACTGCACATTGGAGACTTAGCAGTCAGGTCACATCCCATGACCACATGTTTACAATGTTTTTGCCAAAACCCGGTTTACTTTCAGTTTTTGGCAAAACCAGCCCATAGCAAAACATGGTTTCACTTAATGACCATGACAAAAATAAAAAGATTGTAAAACCATCTCTATGTAAACCATTATAGGCAGACTACCTGAGTAAGCAGTGTGGCCCATGAAAGAGCGATGTCACATAAGTGTATGGTTTACTAAAAAAAATGTCAGTGAAAGTTTCTGTTAAGCCGTCCTAGCTTGGATGGTTCTGTAATCTTTATTTTAATTACTTTTAAGAAGTAATTTACCCCAGTTTAAAAAAAAATGTTTTCATAGAAAGGAATGGAGCAGATATATTTACATATGATTGTCTGATGTCTTCCAAGCGCTAGAGAGCAGCACATGTATTATTCATAGACCTATTTATGCTGCATTAAGCATGGCTTCCCAGCCATCTGGGTTTTGCTTTCTAAAAGATTTCTGAAGCAGCATATGCATATTTTATGCAACCATATATCACATCTTAGGTTGGATTTCAGGTTGGTTCAAAACTTCCCTGTCAAGAATCTGCTGTAAAATAATTACTGTGAGAATCCTGGGTTTAAAAGTAATAATAACGCTAAAATATCTTAAAATTGAATTAGAACACTTCTGTATTCTTTTTTCTATACATATTAAGAATATTTTTTTCACTGAAAAATCTCATGAGATTGTATTCTTTTAGATTTCAAATGGCCTTAAGTATCATGTGCCTTAATCTTTTATATAGCAATTGCCCCGAGATACGTGATGCTATTAGACTATCATAACGCAATACCTGAATTTTATCTGCTATATGTAATATTTTTAGGAATATCATGTTATCTGAAGCTTCCAAAAGTTTGGCGGAATTAAACAAATATAACAACATAAATATGGAGAAGGGAAGGAGATCCAGTGTACATACTGGAATCATTTGCAGATCCATGAGATGTGACTTATATAAAGTACTGCCATCCACCCTACATTTACTTTGGATCACCCCATTTCTTCCCTTCTTGTGTTCTTTTGTCCCTATCAGTCATGCTTTCACACTGCAGCCATCCCCAAGGTCGTGTGATCAAAATTCAAAGGATTGGCAACTGACCCATGATAGTTGCAGTGTCCCAGGGTCATGTGACCACTTTTTGCAACCTTCTGACAAGCAAAGTCAATGGGGAAACCAGATTCACTTAACAACCATGTTAACAACTTAACAACTGTAGTGATTCACTTAACAACTGTGGCAAGAAAGGTAAAAATGGGACAAAATTCACTTAACAAATGTTTTGCTTAGCAACAGAAATTTTGGGCTCCATTACGGTCATAAGTCAAGGACTAACTATATTCTGAATTCAGGTGTTATAGGAAAAGGAAGAAAATTTGTCTAAACAATGGTCAAATTTATAAACCTTTATCATATTCACTACTATCGTTTTATAAGCTAAAAATTCTCACTGCCATATTTTTCTTATATCTTCTTATGGCATCCTGTTGGACATAGAAACCATTGGAGTGAAATAATATTCTAAGTGTATTGGTATAGGTGATGGAGTAGTAGCATGGCTTTGAATTTGTTTCCTTTGCTTAAAGATTTCTGCTCTGATATTATTTATCAGTTTGATGCATTGTTTGTTTTTTAATGCCATAGAATTCAAGACCTCAAATGCAAGTTTCTTAGGAGACTTCTTATCCAGTATTTATCTCAGCAAGTTTCTGTTTTGTGTGCCTTGGGGCTAAAACAAAAATTTGTAAATGATAGTTTAAATGTTTTACTTTAAATATACAGTATTGTTTAAAGATGCTTCAGTGAGTAGAGTATGGATCTTCATCTTAAAGAGATAATTTATTGTATTATTGTTGGACTGATGTCATTAATATATAAGTTTTTATACTGGATATCTCAGGTTAGTTAAACTAAAATAGTTTTTTTGTTTTTTACTGTTATTGGTTTTTCTGAATGCGAAACTATGTTTTTCTTTTTTCTCCTCTTACTTTACTTCTTCCTTGTGCATTATTTTACTCTTACAGATAATCTGCTGGGAATTTCCTGGGTTGATAGTTCATGGATTCCAATATTAAACAGTGGGAGTGTATTGGACTATTTCTCAGAGCGCAGTAATCCATTCTATGATCGAACATGCAACAATGAAATGGTCAAAATGCAAAGGCTAACCTTGGACCACTTGAAGTAAGTTGATGTACTATTATTAGTTTTTTAGCTTTCAGGAAGAAATGATGTCATAATATCAACTAAGATGTTAAGAAAAGAAATATGCGGACTAATGCAGATAGTCCTCAGGTTACATCCATTTGTTCAGTGACTGTTTAGAGTTATGATGCGGCCATGTGACATGCTTTATGGTGCATTGCTTGGCAATGCAATTCCAGTGCAATTGAATCAGTGAATAGGATGAATTATTAAAATGCAGTTAATTTAACAGGCTCATTTTAAATCAAACAAATTAAATTATTCAGTGTTTTTTAAATCAGTAACAATATTTTTAAAAAATGTATCTACCTTAAATCTGTAAAGCAGTTATGGAGGATCTAGAACAGGCCTGTCAAACTGGTGGCCCATGGACTGGATACAGCCTGCGCAGGCCACACCAATCCCAGCTCCGGAAAGGCAAAAAACATCCCGATATGTCATGATACAGCCCGCGATGCAATTGGGTTTGGCACCCCGATACAGAATATTCATTCCACTGCTAAACAAAAAAATAACAACAAAAAACAAAAAAACCCAATCTTCTGAAACTTTAGTGGCCAGAGATTAGAGGACAAATCATTAAGCCATATAATGCCAAATCTAAACTTCTGTTTTTGTTTGTAATTAATTTGTTATGTCTATATTTGATAAATTATTTTCTACTCACAGTAAAATTGTTTTTAACTCAAGTGCTTCTATATCTTGCTTTCTTCCTTTCCATCATCTCAGTTTTAAATCAGTTTAGTGTTAATATTTATTGTTTTTACATTTTAATGTTTTATCTTGTTTTTAGCACTTAACAATAACGCTTAGTTGTATATACTGCTTCATAGTGCTTTACAGCAGTGGCCCCCAACCTTTTTGGCACCAGGGAATGGTTCTGTAGGGACAGATTTTTCCATGGACCGGAGGGGGCATGGTTTTCCGTGCTGCCTGCATCCCGTGAATGGGGCTTTGTTTGTGCAGCCCGGTTTCTGGCATGCCCTGGCCCGGTGCCGGTCTATGGACCAGAGGTTGGGGACCCCTGCTTTACAGTACTCTCTATGTGGTTTGCAAATGTCAGCATATTGCCACCAACAATCTGGATCCTCATTTTATTGACCTGAAGGATGGAAGGGCTGAGTCAATCTCGAGCCTGTCAGGATCGAACTCCAGACTGTGGCAGAGTTAGCCTGCAATACAGGTAGCAATCCTTAACTTACATCAGTTCATTTCTTGATAGTTCAAAGTTATAATGGCACTGAAAAAAGGGACATAATTGTTTTTCACACATACGACTGTTGCAACATCCTTATGGTCATGTGATCAAAATTCAGATGCTTGGCAACTGGTTAATAATTATGACCATTGCAATGTCCCAGGGTCATTTGAGCACCTTTTGCAACCACCCGACAAGCAAAATGAATGGAGAAGCCAGATTCATTTAACAACCTTGCTACTAACTTAACAACTGCAGCGACTCATTTAACAACTGTGGCAAGAAAGGTCATAAAATGGGACAAAACTCATGTAACAATTGTCTCGCTGAGCCACAGATTTTGGATTCCATTGCGGTCATAAGTCGAGGACTATACCTGTACTGCATTCTAAGCACTGCTCCACGAGAGCTGTTTTTATGACTGTAAGCTGCCTAGAGTCTCCTTTCGGCAAGATGCATAGCATATAGGTTTAATTAATCATTAAATAAATATTTTGACATTAACTAATCTTGATTCAGTATAGCTTCTTAACCAAAATTGAAAACAAAACCAACAGTGTTGATACCACTGTTGTTGCTGAAGTTTGAAGCTGGGTGAGGCTGGCATCTCCAATATGAGAAAGCCCTTTTGTAAACATGGGGCAAATTCTCAAAGCAGCCAAATTGCTGTTGATTCAGAAAGTTTGAGGAAAAACCTAGGATTTAAGATGAGGATTAATTTCTTTATTGGGAGAGATTCCAGAGGGCTCTTAGACGGAGCCTTTCTTCATACGTATGGCTTTCTAATTCTTTGCAGTAGATCTGCTTATCTAACCCTCTTGTGTCTCTTTGTGACTGTGGAATGAGGAGAGTCTCTTTAATTATTGCCACACTATGAAATTTTGACTGCTGCATAGTCTTACTGTACGTTTCTACTGGAAACTATAAATAAAGGGATGACTTAGAAAACATATTTCTGTGAGGCTAAAACTTAACATATGCTATTCCTTTTTTGCATTGGAAAGGCTGCTTTCTGGAGTACCATTTTCTCATTAGTAAACAGTTGTTCAGGATCTTCCCAGGTCTTCTAGGTTTGCTGCTATTATTTTTACTCCTTTAATTTGCTTCCTATTAAAGCTGCTAATTTCTTTTTTGTACATTCTGAAGCTTCTTAATTAAGTCTTTTTTTTTTTCATTTTTCCAATCATACTTGAGATTTTTGAATAGCATTACGGTTTCTGTTTCCTGATATTAAAGATTAATGCTAGTCATTTAAATCAATACGCTTTTAAATCACCGTCTTTCACCTATTTATGTGCCAGGGGCGGGTGGGAAGAAAACCAGCAGTTGGTAAATTTATTAACGCTCTATTAATATAAATCCCCACTCTTTATCAAGAATTATGTGGGGGGGGAGGAAGAAATTACTCACCACTTAATGATTTCTAGATTACCTGTTTTCAAAAAAGGATCATTCTTTTTTCTCTACACTAAAATAGCTTATAATTTCAGTGTTTATAGCGTCTGCGACTGTTTTCTGTCCCTAGATTTAGCTCTGTCCTTTTATCTTTCAGTCAAATGGTTGGAGTAGAATATATTCTCCTCCATGCACAAGAGCCAATCCTCTTCATCATCCGTAAGCAGCAAAGACAGAACCCAACACAAGGTAAGGCTGTAGACAGCTGTCCTATTTAAAATGTAGAGTGTAACCTATGGCCAACTTTTCCCAGTCTGCATGTTCTTCAGCCAGACCAATTCCAAGATTTTCTTTCTTTCTTTCTTTTTTTTATGTGGCTGGAGAATTTGGAGAGCTGAAATCCAAACATCTGGATGTTGTCTAGGTTGTGGAATCTTGCCATTCATACAGATTTTCCTTGTGCGGGCATACTACTTCCATACAGAGTGGTGGACTATGTGTCCCCTTTCATTTTGCATGGAGCACTGGGTTCTACAATGGCCTAAATTACCTCTTTCGGTTCTGTGATTCTGTAAATCTAAAGCAACATTGTATGTTGTTCTCCAGTGCTCCCATCTTGCCTCACAGTCCTACCTACTTGTTTGTCAGGGCAGACTGCATATGTTCTGAGCAAATATATTCCTATTTTTGAGCAAGGACGTTCCTCCTTTTGATTATGTCAATAGAAGAAGAAATAGAACCAGAATCAATGCTATTCATTCTGATAATTTGTATTGTTATGTCGTCTTCTTAAATGTTGCTTAAAATAGTTTAAAAAACAAAACAAAACTGGGGCTCTGTAAAAGTGTTAGATTTCCATTACCTCCTCCCATCTAACCCAATTTAAAATAATAGTATTTCCTGTGAAGGACATGTGGATAATGTTGGAAGCTGTCTTTGAGGCTAACTTTATTTTTTTGCAACAATAAGGGAATGCCCTCTTGTGGTAAAATGCAATATGGGTAACAAAATGAGCTTTGTCTTCAAGCTATTTCTTTTTTGGGTTACACTGATATCTTATTATGGTTAAGATTTTATCTGATGTTATAGTTAAGATTTTATCTGGTCATGTTTGTTCAATCTTTCTGCATTTTAAATGTCTATCACTGTTACTTTTGAAGTGGAAGGCCAATTATTTCTGCATCTGATTAGTGGAAGCAGAATTTGGAGAATTTATATATTACTGTTTTATTACACTGAAGTAGTTTTAAATACATGCCCATAAAAGTAAATCTACTGAGAATGTAGGGTTTAAATATACTTGTAATCTAGCTATATTTCAATTTCTGTACTGTTTTATGAAATAAATTAAGCAATTGCACCTGTTATATATCTGGAATGGATTGGTTGACTAATGCTATGCTTCTTTTAAAGTTATCCCATTGGCTGATTATTACATTATTGCTGGAGTAATTTATCAGGCACCTGACTTGGGGTCAGTTGTAAACTCAAGAGTGGTAAGTTTCTATGACACTGGTTTTATTAGAATATAAGAAATGCCCACAAAAAATTGGTTTGGTTTCTGGTTCTTTGTTTTAATTTAAGCTTCTGAAAGTTCTATTTTTTGGGGGGGGGGGAGTCTATAAAAATGTAAGCAAAGGGAGAAAAATGAAAAGATTTTAAAAGGTTGGCTTTTCCCACAGGCACTGGGTCAGTGTGAAGTTGGACCATGAGTATTATATGGTTGGATGGATACGAGATTGTGGACCAGACCCCTGGCTTCTTTGTCTTTAATTTTATTACTACAGTGAATCACCTAAAGTTGTGTTTTACATGATGGCTGGCCATATAAATGTTTTAATAATATGAATAAGTGATCAGATTACCTTTATTTTATTGATTCTTCCAGAGACGGTTTCTGGAGACTGCATGTTTTATGAACTCAGTGTCATAATCAATACATACACCTATTTGTCTGAAAACATTTTCCCCTACTTTTTTTTGTATCCTTTTTCTTCTGTTGCAGGGATGGTTAGATAGGTCTTGTCAGAGGTCTGTACTGAGCTCTTGTACTGTACTGAGGCTTTAAAACTAGGCCAGAGACTATATAAAATTAGTTTGAGGGCAGATTATCACTCTTACTTTACCTCATGTCTGTTATTTCCTCTTTACTGAAGGGAAAGTTAGCATATTGCTCTCTTTGCTCCTTTTATATTGACTTGCCTAACTTCCATCCTCATTTGCAATGACATAATTGGAAATTGTATCAAAACAAAGCTTAGAATATTGAGTTATGTGTGAAAAATATATGTTGTGAATCAGCCTATTTGGCTGGCTGAAGTACTGTACAAAGAGAGAAATCACACATTTTCTTACAAATTTATATTGTCCAGCTCACTGCAGTACATGGAATCCAATCAGCTTTTGAGGAAGCTATGTCTTATTGTCGCTATCACCCTTCCAAAGGTTATTGGTGGCATTTCAAAGATCAAGAGGAACGAGGTAAGATATCTGGGACTTCAGATTGTAAAATTTATCCTTCCTTTTTCCTTAGGAATTACCATATTTTTCAGAGTATAAGACACTCCGGACTATAAGACGCACATACCTTTTTTTGGTGTGGAAAACAAGAAAAAGAAATCTGCCTCTGTCTCCCAGCAATTTTGCCTCCTTGCAGCAAAGAGCAAACAGCCTGCTTTACTTTCATTTTCATTTTCAGCTTGATTAGCACAAGAAAAAAAAAAATCTGCTCCCAGCAATTTACCTCCTTGAAGCAAGCAGCAGAGGCCCAGGCAAAACAGTTGAGAGCAAAATAGCTGAGAGTCGGGAGGCCGATCCAATCAACTTGTGCTAATTAGGCTGTGCTGAAGCTGAAATGAGCTGTTTCTTCTTGCTGCTTGCTGCAAGGAGGTAAACTGCTGGGAGGCAGAGGCCAATGGGTGGGCGGGGCTACATTTGGTGTATAAAACGCACCTAAATTTTCACCCCCTTTTAGGGGGGTGGGGAAGGTGCGTCTTTTACTCCTAAAAATAGGATATGTGATTGGTCTTGGTCTGTATACTTCAGTGAAAGTCAGTTAATGTTACTGTCACTTTATATTTGTAAAACAATAGAATATAGAATGAGTAAAGTATTCCAGGAAATGCCATGGTGTTCTTCACCGCATTTTCCCCATTTGATTGCAGGTTCTGGGTTTTTTGCTCCGTGTTTGCCTAGATCATCTAGCAAAACTGACTGCATGGGGGAGGGGAGATTTTTTTTGGCTGAGTTGTCACAGAGCCTAATTAGGTCTGAAAGGAAGTGTCTCTCTCAAGATCACCCAGCTGGTTTCTATGTTTAAGATTGGATTAGAATCTGGGCCTCCCTGCTTCTAATCCAATACTTTGATTACTAAATGACATTGGCTCTTATTCCAGAAATATCATATATCAGTATAATATTTCTATATATGGTGGCAGGTTCTTCCATTAGTACTTACTGTTTTAAAATGTATTCTCAGTTACCCAGAGCTGGCAGAATTATTAACTTCTGCCATCTATTAATTTTTTTTCCTGTAGCAATACAAATTGATCAAAGCCATACCTATTTTACCTGAATTGCAGAATACCAAAAACATCCATCTGAATTTCATTTCTAAATAATTAAAACTAATTTCCCCTTATGCTTATAAATTATGGTATCAAAAAGTTGATACGGTTTCATTATGATCTTCATAATTTTATTTTCAGATAAAGCCAAACCAAAAACAAAGAAGAAGGAGGAACCAAGCTCTATTTTTCAGAGGCAACGTGTGGATGCATTACTTCTAGATTTGAGAAAAAAATTTCCCCCTAAGTTTGTGCAGGTAACAGTCAAATAGTAAACTACTATTTGCCACAATGAGATACTTTGTCAAGACTGTTCAAGACCTGCTCTGAGCTGGACTCTGGCTTTTCAGGTTGTTTGAGTTTGACTAATGCAGTAATTTAGCATGAAAAGAGTTTGAGACTGTTGTTCCCAAAGAACTGGATGGGATATTCAGGCTGTGGAGAAGAGATGACCTGTGAGGGAGCAAAAAAACCCCACAATGTTCTTGGATTCAATAGTTCTGAAGAATTTTCATCCTGTCTCTAACCTAAAAAGAGAAGGTTGTTGAAAAAAACATCCACTTTGCAACTCTAAAGGGACCTCAAAGAAATTATTATCTGGATCCTTTTCAGTTGAGCTTCAAACCAGGATGTGATACTGAGATAACATTGATCACATTCATAAATGACCAAATAGTTGAAGAGCCTAGCAGAAAAATATTTCATAGACTAAAAGTCTATTTAGTTGAAGGGAATCTTAAAAGTGATGTAACCTCTTATCCAATTTAGATCCTGTCAGATGTTCTGGGGAATTGGTACTGAGCAGGAAATTAGATGAACCCTAAGGTTCTTTCCAATTCTATAATAATGTGAAACATTTTTTTGCTCTGCCATCCATCCCAGATTATAATATTTTGAGTAGGCTTCCAGCAATGAGAACTCATCTCTTAATGTAATAGCCTGTTCCACTGGCTGCTAGCTTGTATAATTAGAAAGTTTTGCCTGACATTTATCCTAATCTGACTTCATTGTAATGTAACTCATTAGTTCTGGTCCTGCTTCTTAGGCAATAGAAATTAAATCCATTTCTAAGTGACAACCATTTGTGTGACTTGCTATGTTAATCCTGAATCCAGTTATACTAGATAGATTACAACCAACATTTCTTATTCTTCACTTGGGCAATGTTCAGTAAGAGAATGTAGTCTCATATCTATACCAAAAAGATGTGCATTTTTGACTAATGACTTGGTTTTTCTCTTTGTTCACAGCAAAAATCTGGAGAAAAACCAGTCCCAGGTAAGAATTTAGTTAATGTGTTTAAATGAGACCAAATCCAGCAAATATTTATGATTAGATTTAATGCAGGCTCTAGAGAAGATAGTTTTGTCCAAGTTGGTCATTATGCATATCATTTTATGCATATAGATTTTCTGTAACTTGGATCCCAAAGAATTCCAAGCCTTCAATCTTTTTTTCCCCTTATGCTATCCAAAGAGCAGGGATTTATGATTTTCTCACAGGAAAAAATTCTGCATGTAGCAATTCCAGCAGTCTTGGTATTCTGGCAATTTTGAATTGCAATTCTGTTTTTAGGTTTAGGGAAGGCCACTTGAAAATTGGAGGGGGGGAGGCTGTTTTCTTCCTGTAGCTGTCATTTCTGCATTGCTCTGCTAAATGAAACTCTTTACTTTCAGATATAGGGTAATAGAATTGAGTTTATTCCTTGAACTTACTGGTAAAAATCGAGGTGATATTTTGAATGAAGTCCTAGCATTAGGAAATATCTCATGGTACTGATAATGAGACATGTAAATCTATTAGAATTAGTCTTAATGTGGTTTATTTTTTCCCAGTGGATCAGATTAAGAAAGAATCAGAGCCAGCACCTGAAGCTATAAAACAAGAGGAGAAGGAAGCTGCAAAGACGACACAACAGAGCACTACTACTAAAGGGCCACCAGAGAAACGAATGAGATTACAATGACAGAAGGGACAATGACATTCATAACTAGTGAGGACTTGGTGAAGAAACAGAGGTAAATAAGTTAGCTATTTAAAAATGGGACAGTGAACTGTGACGTTTCCAAAATTCCAGCATTTGATTTTTTTTTTTCATGTTACAAATTTACAGCAATTTTCAGGATGGAATGACCTATTTTAGTGTTCGAGACTGAATTGTGCTTTGTGAATCTTTTGAGGATTTTTTTAGCCTCTGATATTTTCAAATTGTAATCTCATACTTTTTATTAATGTCTTGATGGAGTCTGAAACATCTTAATCTTTCATAAATAGAGCGTGGCTCTACTGTTCTGTCAGGTTTTTCCAAATAAATTGATTACAGCAGTTCAGAGAGAGTTCTTTTTCTGAATTTCCACTTTTTCGTTAAGATTAAATTCAAATTGAGATAGAAGATTATTTTTTAAAGAAATCTTTCCCGCAACTTGGGTTATCGTATTGATCATTGGTGATTTTTCCCTTTTCAGTTTATTCTTTGAACAGCTTATGCATGGGTGTGGGAAAAAATGCCCATGATTTTGATCGGCACCCTCATCAGCAACATCATCCCCATCTAATCAACGATCGATAGAAAGCATGCTAGGTTTGGAGAAGTCAAGCTCTATGCAGAATATGCAAACGATGTTACAATCGATCCAAGAAGCCATGACTAAAATTCAGGAAGCCATGTCCAAAAACCATGATGAGATTAAAAGCGAAATAGGGGAGATGAAAGGGGGATATACGTAAGATGGATGAAAAGATAGGGAACATCCAGCAAATGATAACAAAGAATGAGCAGAGGATACAGAAAGTAGAAGTAAGGGCTGAACAAACGGGGGTAAAATTGGAAGAAATGGATCAAAAACTATCCTTGGCTAACAGAGAATTAGAAGAGACAATAATTTTTCTGGAAATGGAAAAGGCAGCTTTCTATCTGAGATTTCAGAACATTATTGAAGAGAAAGAAGAAGACCTGGTTGAGGTGATGATAGACTTGCTGGGGGAAGTATTACAGAAAGATAAGCATGACGTATAAAGAGACATAGACGAAGTATTCAGAATCCACACAAACTATGCAAGAAGGCACAGATTATCGAAAGAGGTGCACGTGAGGTTCACTAAAAAGGCATTGAGAGATGAAGTATACAAAAGAATGAGAGATGAACCCATGAAGTATAAAGGGAGAAAAATCCAGATGTTAAAACAGAGGAGAGTCAGAGAACAGAGGAGAAAGTATCAATTTTTGACCGCAAAATTGATTAAATGTAACATGAAGTTCAGATGTTTGATACCAGAAGGAATTCTGATCTCCTGGCAAGATAAAAAATTTAGGGTGGATACCTTAGATAAAGCACACAAATTTTTTAAACACCATTTTACAACAAATGAAGATCAGGAAAGTAGAGAGGAGATAGAAAGTAAAAGTCAAGATGAATTGCCAACAGAAGAAAAAGCTTTTTCTAAAGCTTTTTCTTTAGAACAAGAAGAAAGAGTGAGCGTGGAAAATGAGCAGGTGGAACATAAGCAGGTGGAATGAGAAGGTGCAAGCACAAAAGGACTGAGAGAGACAAGAACAACTAGAAGGGCAAGACCTATATACAAGTGAAAAGATGGATGAGGAAGTCAAGATACTATCTGTTAACATAAATGGATTGAACTCCCCCGCAAAAAAAGGGCAAATCTTTACAAAACTACAAAGATTAAAATTAGATATAATTTGCCTTCAAGAAGTACACATCAAAAAACAACATGGCAACCTAACAGCTCTAGCATATCAAAAGAAGAGAGGGATAGCACTATATATTAGAGAATCGTTAAAATCTAAACAAATATACACAGATGAAGAAGGCTTAGCTTCTCTCAATTACTGTAATTTTTTTTTTAATACAGGATGAGGTTTCATATGTACAGAATATTATGTGATAGCTATTCTCTGGTAGTTTCAGTACACTAGGAGGAACATCTTTCTCAACTCCCTACAGAGAAAAATCCTGTAAAATAATTGTCAATAAAATAATTTTATAATCTGTTTGTAAATATTTATTTGTTTTGAAGAGGGAATGGAGACAAGAATATTTTTAAAGGGTTTTTAATCTTTCTCCTTGGTTTTTCACAGTACATGGTTTGCTTTCCCTTTTTTTTTTATTCTAAAAATGTTTTGTCCGTTTGTACTTCTTTCCAGTCTACTTTTATATTATTCCACTGAAAAATAAAACATTTTAAATACTGTTTACAAATTCACAGACATCTCATTTTGCTTCTCAATTGGCAAACTTTATTAGTGTGATATTTTCAAGTGTGCTGAATTACCTTTCTGGCTGAGCATTTTAGAAGGTATTAATACAAGTTATTTGGAAGGTCATAGATTGTAGAAAACTATTCTAAGGTTATTACTATATTCTTATTAATCCCTCCCTTTGAATTATGAAGAGCTAATCATGCTGAGAATTATTTAATACTCTTAAATACATGCAATACATTTTTCCAAAGAACTGAGAAAGATGTTTGTATTTTCTCTTTCTTACTGTTGCCCTCATAGTAAACGAGTTGATTGAAGTCCTTGTATAGAACAGAGGGATTCATCTGAAATTGAGTCAGTAGTTCAAGGTTACTAATAGTGTATCCCTATAAATCTCTATTCAAATGTGACAGCTATATTCAGTGGTACATATTTCCCAATGTCTAAACATGATACACATTCTGAGGTCCCCTGGAACAGTAGCACAGAAATAGAGGGTGAGTTTGATGTTTGCTGAGTTATAGAGAAAGAAAAAAATGGGACTGCATGTTTTAGGGTGATAAATTTTCCACCACTGAAAAAAAAAGCATCAAATATAACACGAAGGAAGAGTTCAAAAACCCTACTTTATCCTTAAATGATTTGATACTTTCTTACCCTGCAGAACTCTTCCCTAAACTTTTCTGATGTTGGTCTCTCCTCCTAGTTACTTTGCTTTCCTGTATTTCTCTTTTCCTCTTCCCTCTCTCCACTCTCCTAATTCATGTTGTATTGCTTCCATCTCCCTTTCCCACTTCCAAGAGAATGGGAAGATTCTCATAGCAGATTTACAGAGCTCTGTGCCACATACATTTCCAGTTGTAATTTGTTCAGAGTTGATTGATTGCAGCAGGCTAAAATTGAGTGAGTGAGTGAAAGAAAGAAAAATACATTGTGTAATTAATTTCCTTTAAACTATGTTATTGCAAACAGCATTGGAATACACACACACACTCTCTCTCTCTCTCACACACACACAAAAATAGCAAAGTAAGAAAAGAGCAATACTCCGAGAAAATACTGACTGATATATACAGTATGGTGAGGAATAAGATTATTGTCCACTAGAGACAAGGTGAGTGGAATATTCTAGTTTGGAGGGAGGGAGCTAAATGCAATACTGAAGTGCAAAGCTTGTATGTTAAGTCAAAGAAAAAGGTGTATTAGAAAGTTTTATTTTTTTAAAGTTTTTTTTTTAAGTTTAGTACTTTGAAGGAAAAAGGAAGGGAAGGGGTTTTCCCTCTTTTTTTTAGTAAGGCCAAAGAATTTGAAAGAATGCAATACATTTTGTAAATATGTAAAAATCATAAAGATTACTAGGTGCAAATAGAAATACACGTTATTTCCATTGCAGGGAAGATAAAGCAGGAGTGGTTAAATTGACTACTTTATTTAAAGAGGAAAATATGTTCTTATTTGGATATACTTTTGGAATTTGTGCTTCTGAAGAAAAAATATGAAACTTTGACCTTGGTTTTGTTGATTAGAAAGATTTGGTGTTATAGGAATGGCTAGTTATTTATTAATGTGTAAAAGCAAAAAGTTGAGGTTCGAATGTGTTTATCTTGTACTGTGCCAGGAAGAGTTGGAAGTCAATGCCCTCTTCTTTCTTTTTCTCTTTCCCCTTGTAATCTCACCCCCCCCATTCCCTTTCCCTCCCTTAATTTCCTTTTTTCTTTTCTTCTTTGTATTTTATATAATAAAATTAAAATGATAAATGTTAAAGAAAACACAATATTTGTAATGAAGATATACATAATTCAGTGTATCAGGAAAAAACCAGATTCTCTATATTAAATTTGTGGATAGATGCTAAGACTTGGGTTCAGAAAAAGGTGTAACGAGCAAAAAAATATATGTAGGTGTGTAGTGGAAAATGAAGAATATGATATTCTGACAATTTAGCACACTGCCCTTTGTTGTCACTGTTTAAGTTGTTGGTGTTAGCCTCTTTTTCAATTCCATCAACAGTAGGGATATGCAGCATTTTGCTATTCATGAACGAAACACTCTGAAGAAGTCTATAACATTCTTTTCCCTCTCTGGACCATGCTTAATCTCCTCTAGACCATGCCATTTGGCAGCTGAGTGGTTTACAAAGGTAAATTCCCTGAACTGAAAGTAATTGCAGGAGGTTGACCCAACAGCTGAGGATTTTTCCCCCTAGAAATTGCTAAATCACTCCAGGAGTAGTTTGGTGCTAAGGAGGTTGGTGAGAGCATAGAACTTCCAAGAGTTTGGGTTTAGGTATTATCAATATGCTGATGATATCCAGCTGTATGTTTTGACCTTAGGCTGGCCAGGTATTAACCCAGTGCATGGAGGTTGGATGGGGAAGACAGACTCAAGCTCAATCCTGACAAGACTAAGTGGCTGTGTTTGGGTCCCCTGACCCAGAGATATCCCATTGTTGACCCTCAGTGGCATTGCCCTTCCCTATTTGAAATTTGTGTGCAAAATAGGGACCTTTACACAAGTACATCTAGTGTACCAATTGCATGCTTTTCCTGGATTCACTTCAGAGAGTCAATCACACTCTGCTCATTTCATGGTTGCATATTGTAAGGAATTCTACATGGGGCTATCTTTGAAGACTATATGTCTAGCTACAGCTGGTTTGGAACAGTGCTGCAGGCAGGGATGGAGGGCACTATATTGTGTACATGTGACTCCAGTTCTGGATACAATTCATGATGCTGGTTATCACCTTTAAAACTCATTACAGCTTAGCTACAAAGCCAGAACCAACCTTACACGTTCCAGGTCTCAACACAAACCCTTGGATTAGACAAGCCACATAATCTAAAAATGAAAGGTGATTGTGAGTCTGGAAATGACAGAGATCATGAGTTCAATTTCTGCCATAGCCGTGAAAGCTGGCTGGATGACTTTGGGTCGGTCCCTCTGTCTTAAGCTCAATTTACATCACAGGTGGTGGTTGTGGGGAAAATAGGAGGAGGAAGATGTGTCCGGCATGTTCACTGCCTTGAGTTATTTTTTTTAAAAAAAGTTTTATTTTTATTTCTCATAAATGTGTCTTAAATGTACAGTCTTTTATCCATTGTTGATCATAACATATTCTCTTTTGACTTTCATATTAGTTCGTTCTTCATCCTAAATAATTTACGTATGCTCGGGGTTGCTCTTCTACCATTCCATCTCCTTTATTTTACAACAATCCTTCTTCTCCTTCTCCTCTCTTTCCCTTCCCTCCCTTCTTCTATCCTCTTCTACTTTCTTCTTTCTTCCTCTCTTCCCCTTCTCTCCTTCCCCTTCCTTTCCCCCATACCTCCCTTCTTCCTCCTTTCTAACCTTCTCTCCTACTCTTATTTCCCCTTCTTTTCTTCCTCTCCTTTTCCCTTTCTTCTGTTCCTCTCTCTCCTTCCTCTCTTCTCCCCTCCTATCTATCCCTCTACTCCTCTTTCCATTCTCTCTCCATTGTTGTATTCATATTCAATATTTTCCAAAATGGTATCTCAGCATCCCTGATTTTCTATTTATATTTACTTTCTTCTCAGTTTCTTTTCTATTTTACTGATTTCACATATATTTTCATAAATGTACATTTATATAATAGGTTTTTTCTCCCCCCACCCCCAAACTACCTTGAGTTATTTGTAAAGTATTATGACAGGATACAAATAAGTAATAAATAAATAAATTCTCCAATCCCCTTTTTTTTAAAGCAAGGTGATGAGGATGAGGTATAGGAAAAGAAAGATGCAATTCATTCCAAGGTGAGATACTGATGCCTTTATGCTATGAGGTGTGATAATACTGCATATTTAGCATACTATTCATATACTGTCTTTCAGGATATAAAGTCTCACAAGAGCGTATTTGAACATTATAAACAGTATATAAGAATAAAATATTCAAATATATAACAAATGCATGTAAAATAAATGGTGTTAAGAACTGTTTAAATAGAAATAAATGCCATGCAAATCAATTCATTTTTTAAAAAATAACACAAACCTCAGAAAAAGGGTGTGAATTTCACATAAGTGCTCTTATCTTGAAATATGCCTCTCTTAACCTGTCTTCAGACATTGCATTGTTCTATCACTGGATGCAGTAATTTAAGACACTTCACCAGTGAAGTGAGGGCTAAAATAGGATAGGGCTGTAATCCCCAAACCTATTTGGGGGGTTCCTGGTGTGCTTTCTGATCACAACTATTGAAAATAGAGTTAAGAAACAAAAAATGCAGAATCAGTCCTAAAATAGACTTTGTGTGTTAAATTTAAAAAATCCCCCCATTTTTTTTTGTCCAAATCCTTGGAAGAAAACAGAATATTCTGCTCTGATTACATATGTTGTGTCTTCATTTTATCTGATTGTTCTTCTGCCTCCAGTTATGTTCAGGGCAATATCTTTCTGCCTAAATATTTCCCACCTCCATAAGAGCAGAGGGCTAAAGAACTCAACTGACTCAAGAATATCTAGACCTTCGAAATACATCAATAGAGTGCTTTGTATCTAAGGATATTTGTCATATGCTAAGGATGGAAAATAAGGGCCTAGCTCTCATCAATTCTCTGAATGTATCAGGACCCAACACAGCTCAGTTAGAGAATTCAGGAAGTAAAGATCGTTTTTCACCATTGTAAGCCCCAAAGGAGTAATAGGCGTCAGTCATCAAAGGTTGATCTTAACTTCTTTAGAAATGGTAGAATCTTCTGAATATCGTTGAAAGCTCCAGAGATACAGAAAGACTACTTAAGCCCAGGCAAAGCTACATGGATATTGCTGAGCATTCCATCTGCTATCCAGTAGATAGTTAAGCTTACTTATTGTTAAGTATAGTTAAGCTTGCTTCCCTTGCCTTTAATCAGTAAGATAATAATCATAACATGTCTTTGCTCTTGAATTCAGTTTTCCAGGATGTATCTAAATAGAATACATGGTTGTATCCAATGGGATGGCCAGTGGAATGGGGAGGGAAAGAAACTTGAAGATATAGAGGTTTCTTAAAAGCACCTATTGTCCCCATCCCTCTAGTGTTGAGAATGAAACTTTGCTTCTTTCAGTGACTTGGGACTAGGGTGGTTTGGAATGACAAAATAGCCTACCTGATGGAATAGATCAATCCTATTGGACTCTGCCTGCCAACTAGAGGGAGGGGCTTTCCTGAAAGTTCTGGAATGCCCTCCAAGAAGATACAGGAAAAAGCCGTTTGCTGTACAGCCAAAGGGAACTCCATGGCTGCCCTCCTCCCACTACAGTGGTGGCGGCGGAGTTTTATTTTTATCCTCTGCCTTCCACCTTGCTGCTTCCATCACTGTCACTCTCCAACGTGAGGCAAGGCCTCCCCTCCCTTGGCCCCTGAAGGGAGAAATGGGGTTGGGTAGAGGATTTTTCTGTCTCATTCTTGCCTCTGGGATATTCTGGAGTCAGCCCATTTGTCATGTACCACCTCAGGGCTTTCCCTTCATTTCTTACGAAGTTATTATCCCAAGAAGGCTGGCACCCCGACGAGGCCGGGAACCGCAAGACCTTACTTATTTAATGGAGATAGAAGGGAAAGGCCATGTGGTACACCTCAGGCAGAAGAGGAATTTCGTTCCTAAACACTTCCCTGTTTTTACCTATAATGAGGATGGAGACATTGAGGTGGACTACCCTTTCATCAAGAATGACTGCTTTTACTATGGCTTTGTACACAACGAGCCTTCCTCTCTAGTCACCCTCAGCAGTTGCTCAGGAGGACTAAGAGGCTTTCTACAAGTGGGTAATAAGCTCTACGAAATCGAACCTCTGCAGACATCTACTTTTCAGCACATGGTCTACAGACTGGAAGAGAAGGGGAATGATATCCCAATCAGGTGTGGAGTAATGGAAGAAGACAAACATCACCAGGAGGCCATGATCCAGAACAGAGAGAATATTGTAAGCAAAAGTCCTTTGAGAGGACTATGGCAAACATATCCCAGGTACATGAAGATAGCGATTGTAGTAGAACATGAACGATATGTCCAATTTGGTAAAAACGAAACCGTCACTGCTAGGCAAGTCCTGGATGTTGTTCACCTTGCAGATTCGCTGTATAAGCCTCTTGGGATTCATCTGGTGGTGGTTGGATTAGAAATATGGTCACAAAAGAACCTCATTGCAATAGCCAAAAGCATCGACGAATTGCTTGACACATTCAATACATGGAGGAAAACGATACTTGTCCAGCATCTAAGGCATGATGTTGGCCACTTATTTGTATATAAGCATTTTGGGATTAAGTTTGGATTATCGTTTGTTGGATCTGTATGTGATCCTAACTGGGCATCTGCTGTTGAGGCATTTATTACTTCTAGTTTATTTTCTTTCACAATAACTTTTGCTCATCAACTGGGTCATAACCTTGGTATGCAGCATGATGAGAAATCCTGCACCTGTAAACAGCATTCTTGTATTATGGCTCCCTTCCAAAGCAACACAAGTAAGTTCAGCAACTGCAGTTATACCAGTTATTCTAAGCTAATGGATACTAGTAGAAAGCAATGTCTGTTAATTCCGCCAGAACATGAGAAATTGTATGACCTCAAAAACTGTGGCAACAAGGTGGTAGAGAGTGGAGAACAGTGTGACTGTGGTTCAAAGTTCCATTGTGAATCGGATGCATGTTGCCAGTCTAACTGTATGTTGCGTTCAGGAGCCACTTGTGCTTTTGGAAAATGCTGTGCTGACTGTCAGCTTCTTCCAGCCGGAACAGTTTGTAGAGAAAGGACTAACATGTGCGATCTTCCCGAATACTGCACAGGAATTTCAGAGTGGTGTCCTGAAGATGTTTATGTACAGGATGGAGCTCCGTGCTCTGATGGGGGCTATTGCTATCATGGAGAATGCTCTACTCACAGTGAGCAATGCAAAATTCTCTTTGGCAAGGAAGCAATGGTTGCCCCACTGGAGTGCTTCAAAGCAATAAATTCTCGAGGTGATCGTTTTGGCAATTGTGGCGTTTTTCCTGGTAATATGTATAAGAAGTGTCGGAACAATAATGTCTTGTGTGGCAGAGTCCAGTGTGTAAACATTGGTGAAGTGCCTAATTTGAATGAGCAGACCACCATCATTCAAACTCCTCTTAGCAACCATTTGTGCTGGGGTACAGATTCTCCAAGTGGAATTGGTGTAGCTGATATTGGAGCGGTGAAAGATGGCACACGGTGTGGCCTCGGCATGATATGCATTAATGGTGATTGCATCAAGGTCTCCCTCCTGAACTATGATTGTAATCAAACCAAGTGCCACGACAGAGGAATATGCAACACTCATAAACATTGTCATTGTAACTCTGGTTGGGCTCCTCCATACTGCCTAAAGAAAGGCAGTGGTGGCAGCACTGATAGTGGGCCTCCTCCACCCAGCAGTGTCAGTGAGAGAAGGACTAAAGGCATTGTAATAGTTATTTCTGCTGCTGTTCTTCTAGCTGGGTTTGGCATCTTATAAAAAACTGAATGTCAGATGACAGACTTTGATAACTCCGATTCCGATACGAGGACAAGTGTCCAGCCTGATATTATAAACTCTTAGGAGGCTAGGAGGATATAAGAAATATCCTTTCAGTGCATTGTGCCGGAAATAATGCAATTTGTTTCTTGCAATTTGGCCTCTAAAGATAGTTTTACGATCTTTATCTCTGTAGCTTTCTAGGCTTATTGCCTTATGAAAAGCCTTATGACACTCTGAATGTCATGTGAGGTGGGCTGAACATTTAGAAATCTTGTGGGAATATCCACAAGAGCGCTGTTGCGGTTCATTCCCCTCCTTATTGAAATGAGTGGTTGTTGCAGACTATGTGGATGTAATCCAGGCTATTGGGAAAACTATCAGATAAAAATATACTAAAAAAATTCAAACCTCATCCACTACTTTAAATGGCTCTTCCTATAAAAATTGCTGTATGGAGGAAAGAACCATACAGTTTCTTGTTCTTGTTAAAGCTGAACCCACACGGTACTTAGCAAATTGGTACCATAATATTTTGGATTCAAATACTTTTGGAAGTATTTCTTGAAAGTATATGCAGCTTATAAAATTTGATTGGAAATGGACAATGATAGAGCTGCTTAGAGAAGTAAAATGGGTACCTAGACAGATCAGGTTCACAATGGCATCTTCAGTTGATTTATCTGAATGGCCTATTATGATGAGATGCATCTTTACACGTGCACATTTTAAATGCCATTTTGAAAAGGCAAAAGTGCAGCTGGAGCTGATCGTTGTATATGTACTGTGAATGGGAAAAGGACCAGATGATGAAGTAGCAAAGTCAAAGGTCGCATTTTGCTCAGAAGGAACATTGCTCTAAACTCTACAGTAAGAGCAGTACCATTGGGCTCCTAGTGTTTGACATTTCTTTAGAAAAGAATACCTCAAAATTGCACACCCAAGAACTTTTTTCTCAAGAGCTGTACGGGTATCATTAATTACAGAGATTTGCAAAGGTGTTGAACACGAGATCAAATACTGCACAGAATCATAGTATAAATAATCGACCACAGACCACATTAACCTGTGACAATATATTTCTTCTAGTGGGGTTTTATATATTTAATGCAATATTTGAGGTAGTGGTGAAATTGTTTGGTGCTCGTACCAACATTCCCATTGACTTCAATGATATATAATCATGTGTAACTGTATTGGGAATCGCAGCATCTGCTTGCAGCTTAATTGTTACCTGCTATTCTGTAGTGACTCCAGTGTATTAACATCGATTGAGAAACGGTTTAGTAAGCATGAGAATAAATATGTTATTGTAAAATTGTGATGACAAAAAATTTAGTTTGTTCAGATTTTTTTCTGTAGTTTTTGCAGAAAACACAAGTGCAAACCAGCAGAGTTTAATATGCAATAGCAGCAATGCTCCTTCAGCAATCAAACATCTGAAATGAATACATTATTTCTGGAATTGGGTAATATAATATTGCTGTCATTATTTAGGAAAACTCAACCTAAATTTTAACCGTTCTGTATCATTTACAGTCTGCCTTGCCCACTCTTTTATCTTTGAATTTCCTTTCATAATCTGTACACGACCACTGCATTTGTTATCACTTGAGTTTCCTGTAAAAATTATTTTGTATTTCTGAACAGTAACACTTCTTCAAAACAGACCCAGTTTACTATATATCTTTAAAAGAGGGATCTCACCCAGCTATCATATATTACTTATCACATTGTATAATACAGTAACTACTTTCAAATGTGCTTTGTTATTGTATAACCATGAGAATTATTTCTTTTAGGGATTATTTCAAATTATTTAATAAATTATTTTATACTTATTCAGTTGTTGCGCTCTATAGATTTTTATTCTTCGGTAGTGATTTAATTAAAAAGGCATGTGGTTATTTCTCAGAGTATAACATGTTATTCAAAGTTTACTGAACCAGAGGTTTTGCTATGAATGCATCTTAGTCTCCTGGACCATGCAGCATCCATCCATAATCAAATTTTAGTTAATTATCTGTTTATTTGAAAATAGTACCCAAAGAACAAACCATTGTACATGATTTGTATGTCTGATGCTCTATTGGTACAGTGTTCTTCAGTCGAATGAATATCCATTTTATGTGGATAATGTATTGATTTAAAACTGAGTGTTTAAGAATAGAAAAGGGGTTTAATATACTAATTACATTGTGTTCAGTGTTCATTCAATTTTTCATAAAATTTCAGTTTTTAATTGTATGTGTGATAGAAGCTCTATTTCATCCTAAATTCTTTGCTAATGAATAAATATTCCAAATAGTTCTTTGTAATAGAGGAAGCAGAAAACAGTTTGTTTTTTTAAAAATCAGAATTCTCCTCAAATATTTTGCACCTAAATACTGAAAATTGGCATTATTATTCAAATTGCAAATAACAAGACCATAGTAATATTGCTGTGGCCTACTAAAGGAGGTTCATAGTCACAATACTAAACCAGTCACAATGCTAAACAAGTGCTTACAGGGTAACTAATTCCCTTGGTTTCATGAACTTAAGGTACGTAATAATTTTCTTATCACAGGACTGCTGATCATTAGATCAGAATGCTTAATAGTACTTTTCTTAGGAGAAAATGGAAATAAATAAGAAAGCTATATCCCGGGATGGGAGGAGGAAGCTTTACTTTTCTCCTCATTCAATACGTTGCCAAATTTTTGAGGAATGACCCTAGATTGTAAAATACTCTTCCATGCTTTAATGCTGGGTACTTCATAGGTGTGGGTGGCAAACTTTGAGAGTCCTTTCCAAGGCACAGACAGATGTGTATGCATGTATATTTTTATGAATATTTCTATGTGTTTGTACATATATTTATTATTAATATGACATGAGTACATCACATACACTATATACAAGTAGAAAGAAATTTCCATCCACGTTGGAAGTTGGAATTCTAATTTAGAGACAGAAGGACATTTTTTATGGTGTTATGATTAAACAAGTGGAATGATAATCCTTGTTATATCATTCAGTAATTTATGCGTAGGTTATAATCTTCTGACTTCCCAATGCTGCTTTAGAGCCATTGAAAACAGTGACTATAATGCTCTTGCATGCAGCATACATACCAATAGGAACCTGTCAGCAGGTGTAACCTTTAAAAATTAAAATGGCTTCCTCTAGGTAATGCGAAACCTCTTATAAAGAGGAGAACAACATGAACAAGAAAAATAATTCAGATCTGCTGCTTTTCCTTCCCCAAGATATAGGATTGGTTTAATGGAATATTCATTTGATCATATTTTGATTCATATCTTTATTAATCCACAGAATCTGTGTCAAAATAAGGCCATCTATTTTTTTTTCTTAGTTTTGATGCTTTCTGAACTCATGTCTACGTTACCAAGTCATGATGAAATGTCTTAATTTATTTTTTTTTAAAAAAATATTTATTTATTAAATTTATTTCCCAATCATCTTGTTTCAAAGTAACTTGACATGGAACAGTATACTCTCTTCCTGCCTGTCTGTTCCATTCTTCATCGTGCAAGCTCCACCCACATTCCAAAGGAAGCTACATAACTGTTGCTATATACAGAATCCTTTTCATCATCTTATTTACATCTGAGATTCTTTCCAGCTTCTTACTACTCTGTCATCTACTTTAAGAGTGCTTCCTTCTGGAAATGAAATATGAGAATGTGTGCTTTCAAGATTTCCTTCAGCCTCGAAAAAAGACCATCCATCTTCTGTGGCTCTTGATATTTCTCAGTAATCTAACTGTGACTACCAGACAAATACTTCCTCGGGGCTTTATTTATGCTGCTTATGAGGTAACCATCCCACAGTTATTAACTCTAAAACCTGGACAACAGGAACGACAGAATGTCACTTGTCTCCTTCAGTTTGAGGGAAAGAAAATCATCATACACCTCACACAAAAAAAGAATTTTGTTCCTAAGCATTTGCCCATCTTCACCTACAGTAAGGATGGGGATCTGCAGCTGGACTATCCATTCTTCAGGGATGATTGCTACTACCATGGTTTTGTGCAGGACAGACCCTTCTCTCTGGTCACTCTCAGTATTTGCTCAGGAGGTCTCAAAGGGATACTGCAGTTAGAAAATAAGACATATGAAATTGAACCAGTACAGGGATCTCCTACCTTTCAGCATGTGATATTTCGTTTAAAAGAAAAAGAGACTGCTATCCAAATGAGATGTGGCCTAACACAGGTAGAGCAAAAACATCAAGAGACCATGTTCCAAAACATAGAGAATGTAGTTTCCAAAACTGCATCCAAAGGAGACTGGTGGCTACGCACTCGATATGTAGAAATTGCTTTTGTAATTGAACATGAATGTTATTTAATGTTTGCCAGAAATGAAACTGTTACTGCTTTGCAAGTTCTTGACATTATTCATATTGCTAATTCTTTTTATGAACCTCTTTCTATTCAGTTATCTGTAGCTGGACTGGAAATTTGGTCACAAAAGAACTTCATAACGATTTCTCCTGCCATAGATAGCACCCTTCAGGAGTTCACCGACTGGAGGAGAGACTTCTTGGTTAATCATCTAAAAAGTGATGTTGGTCACTTATTTGCATATAAGTCTTTTGAATTTTCACTTGGATCAGCTTATGTAGGAACAGTTTGTGATGAAAGGATGGGATCTGCTGTTATCTCATATAAGACTACCAGTCTGTCCATTATCAGTAGCATATTTGCCCATGAATTAGGGCATAATCTTGGCATGCAGCATGATAAACAGTACTGTAGTTGTGGTAACGCTTACTGCATTATGGCTCCAGTTCATGAAGTGACTGATAAATTTAGCAATTGTAGTTATAATGACTATTTTATCACAATGAATGCTCCATGCTTGTTAAGTCCTCCAGACCCTGATAGAATCTTTAAAATCAAATCATGTGGCAATAAAGTAGTAGATAAGGAAGAGCAATGTGACTGTGGTTCAGAAGCTCAATGCAAGCTGGATCCATGTTGTCAGTCTAATTGTACATTTCGTTCTGGTGTCAGTTGTGCTTTTGGTGAGTGCTGTGCTAAGTGTCAATACCTTAAGTCTGGAACTATTTGCAGAAAGAAGACTAAGTATTGTGATCTTCCTGAATACTGCAATGGGACTTCTGAGTGGTGTCCCGAAGACGTTTACATGCAGGATGGTGCCCCGTGTAGTAAAGATGCATACTGTTATCGTGGAAACTGCATATCTGAAGATACACAGTGCAAAATGATTTTTGGCTTCAGTGCAAAAACTGCTACAGATATTTGCTTCAGAGAAATGAATGCTAAAGGCGATCGCTTTGGCAATTGTGGCCTTAAACATGGAATTTACCACAAATGTCAAACTAAGAATACCCTGTGTGGCCGAATCCAGTGTGAAAATGTCCAAATCTTACCTTCTTTGGAGGAACACAGCACCATAATTCAAGTCCCCCTTGGTGATAAGCAGTGCTGGAGTACAGACTACCACAGTGGAATGAAGATGGCTGATATTGGAGCAGTGACAGATGGAAGTCCTTGCGGCAAAGACAGGATGTGCATTAACAGGAAATGTGTGAGCGTCTCTCTCTTGAATTATGATTGTAACTTCACCAAGTGCCATAATCGGGGAGTATGCAACAGTCACAAACATTGTCACTGTGATTATGGCTGGGGTCCTCCAGACTGCCTGAAGAAAGGGCATGGTGGTAGCATTGATAGTGGGCCTCCTCGACCACGCAAACGTTTAACCACTATTGCAAAAGCTGGGATTATTGGAGGGATTATATATGTCCTTTCTTCTGCTTTTGTTTTGGTTAGCGTAGGGATATATTTCAGATATGGATTTGTTCGCTTATTTAGAAGGCTTAGAGGAACTGAGTCAGCTACAGAAGTGAGTGTCAATCAGAAAAATAAAGTATATCAAATATGTTCAGAAGAGTTAATGGACATTATTATATAAAATGTATTTGAGCCTCTGAAATTTGAGTATTAATTTATAATGCTGGAAAAAAAATTGAATTTAATTTCAGGCAGTGTCATTTCTAAAAGTTCTGTTTTATTGCCTGGGAACCAACTCTCCGGTAAATGCTGAAAACATTTCATTGGGAATTTACTACATTAATTAATTACCAAAGAAGAAGAAGAAAATAATAATAATCTAACATTGCCTTTTCAAAATTCTAGCTGAAACATAGTATGGGTGTTTAGGAGAAGCTGATCCTCCTGAAGCAGGGTCTTCCAGCCTGGAAGTCAACTTCATAGCAGCCATTGCTCAAAGAGGAGGAAAATGTTGCAATGACCAAAAAAAAAAAAATCACTCATGATTTTTATGGATTGCACAAGTATCACCCTATATCACATTTACTACTAGTAGTACTCTTCTCATCATCTTTCCCATGTCCTAGACTTATCTTCTTCACATCAAGGGCCACCTGTACAAACAGCACACACTCTGTGTAGGAAAACCCCAAGCATGAACATGGCAGATGGCAGTGAGTTCAAGACTGGACCCTGCCCTGTGTGCTGTGCTGGAAGACTCCATGGAAGAATCAAATTTGAGGAGAGAATTTCTCTTGATAGGAAGTCTTCTTTATATAAGACACCCCTGTGCTTTAGAACTGATCGCTAGTCCTCTGTAGCATGAGGGACACCGATACCCTCCTTTGATTGTTGATCTGCAACAAAACCAAGTACCATCGTATCCTCCAGTGTTATCAGAGACAATGAATGGGAAATCACACAAGACTACTGAATGGATCAGGAAGATGTCTTTCAGCCACAATAAGTGAGTACCTGCAATTTGGGGGCAGTTTTAGAAGAGATAACTGAGACATTTCCTAGTTCATGGGG